CTGGCCTAGTGTGAGACTCTTTCTCAAAACTTAAAATAATCAGGAGGCTGGAGAGGGCTCGGTAGTTAAGAGCACTTATTGCTCTTGTACCTCCAAGTACCAGGCATGCATGTTGTGCATGTACATACATGCAGGCAAAACACTCACAAGCATCAAATAAAATAAACCTAATTTCTTTTAAATCAGTTTGCTGCCTTAACATAACAAATTTTTATAAAAAATATTTTAACAAAATTTCTTACAAATCTTTTTTTTATTATTATTTAGACAGAGTCTAACTACGTATCCCTGACTGGCCTGGAACTTGGAAACCCACCTACCTGTACTGCCCAATTGCTGGGATTAAAGGCATGTACCCCCACGCCTCGTTTACAAAGCTTTTAACGTATGACTTAATAAAGTAAAGCTGGGCCAGGTGGTGGTGGTGCACCCCTTCAATCCCAGCACTCGGGAGGCAGAGGCAGGCGAATCTCTGTAAATTCGAGGTCAGCCTGGTCTACAGAGTGAGCTCCAGGACAGCCAGGACTGTTTCACAGAGAAACCCTGTCTCAAAAAAAAAAAAAAAAGGAAAGCTGGATGTAGAGTTTGGCTGGATGTGTGACCCAACAGTCACAGTCTGGTACACCCCAGAACACTACAAGCTAAACTGGCTTCGGTTATACCCACAACTGCTTTCATGTAACTAAAGTACATAAATGTTAGCCAAGTGAAGTCAAATACCCTTAATAACACTATAAAAACATTTATTTTACATCCTTCTGAAAGCACCACAGCCTGAGAACCACCGTGGTGAGCCTGACTGCTGTAAGGTTGCCTCCAAACAAGTCTAAGGAAGATCTCTCTGAACAAGCCACAACACTTGGGGTGTGCAGTAAAAGATGGTCTCCCAAAAGAGGGTATCAAAAAGGCCAAAAGCAAAGAACAAAAGCCTCCCCCCCCCAAAAAAAAGTCAAAATTGGCACCATCAAGGATAGCAGCAATAATTGGTGGCAGAGTGAAGAGAGCTGAGACGGAGGCCAAAGGGTTTGGGGGGATGTGAGGTTTAATCAGAACCCTGAGCTGACCTCCTGTGAAGTTTAACCAGGGTATGGCCCGAGATGGTCCACCATGAAAAGTGAGAGACTGAGAGAGATGAACAACAGAGTCCAGTTTGAAAGCCCCACCTTTGGGGCTGTGGGGTCCTTGGAAAGGTGCGGAGGGTTGCGAACCCAGTTCTCAGGAAGCAGCTACAAACTTAGCTATGGAGCTGGAGAGACGGTGCAGTATGTTTAAAAAAAAAAAAAAGAAGCACTTGCCAACAATCATACACAATAAAAAAGAATGCAACTAAATTTTTTTTAAAGAGACTTAGTTATGAAATGTCTTGAGAAACAAGAGAAACAGAATTAAGTCTTCGATTTGGTCCTTTGTGGGCAGTGCTACCATCTGGTGAAATGTAGAGCCCGGAGAGGAAGGAACTCTCAGCCTTGACTCAACGGGAATTTCACATTCTTTCTCTCTAACCCTCTTCACACTGCACCTTACATTAATATTAGCATAAAACATGTTATCCTAAACAAACACCATAAACACAGGAGCACGCGCGCGCAGACACACACACACACACACACACACACACTTGTATGAAAATACGGCCAAGGCCGAAGCGGTGAGCTATTAGTCATCGATGAACAGTCTGGGCAATTAATCTCATCCAGATACCTGCTAACATTACCATACAGCCACCATTGCTCCAAGCAGTCCATGAAAACAACAGTGTATGAAATCTGTGAAATCGCTGGCTGTAGTGCATAAACGTGTTCAGATTGACCTATCGACACGCCTGTTGACTCTGTAGTAACTTCTTGGGTGTCCTGTGCCCAAGCTCGCACTGATGCCAGCTCCTCACCCATCTTAGGTGACCGTAGGCGTCCGCACCTGGGCTCCCTGATGACAGCTCTCGAAGCTCGGGGCACTCATCCCCAAGGACAGTCAAACCCTGAGTCACTAAGCAGCAACCGGCTATGTAAACGTAATAGAAGTTGGGGCGATTCACCTTCCATTGCGTCCCAGACAGGCACCGCCTTCCCAGCGCCTAAGCAGGGTCCTTTCCCAGGAAGCTTGACTGCACAAACCGCCCAGGGCTGCTTCGGGACCACAAACGTTGGGACTCCGGGGCAGGTAGTTCCCAAGACTGAGACTAAACCCTGGCTCTCACAGCTGAGCTCGGCGCCTCTCAACCCGATGACCCCCATCCCATCTCAAAAGAACGCGGTGGCAATAGATGCCTGTTTCCTCCTCCTCGCGCTGGAGGAGGGGCCCCCACTAAGTGCCAGGCTGAGGGGAGGCGACGGTGTGGGTGACATTTTCCCCATCACTTCGCCCGCTGTAAAACTGTGCACTTCTTCCCGAAGAAGAAATAGGCCCCAGTTATAGCAAACGAATTCAGCCAGCGAGGCAGAAACGGCCGAGGGGAAATGCTGCCCCCGAGGCCTACTGTGCGCAGGAGAGCCTACTGTGTGCACCCCCACCCCCGCGGGACCCCCCTCCAGGTCCTGGTTCCCCGACGGTCTGGGGTTCCTTAGAAACGCGGAACCCGGACACACCGGAAGAGCGGGCACTCCCTCGGGCCTGCGCCAGGGACGGCCGAGGCCGACAGGGGACGGGCGGAAGGGACAGGGAGACATGGAGGGAGGGGACTGAGGGGACCACGACGCTGAGCTGAGCGGAGGGAGCCCGCGGCATGGAGGGCGGGGGACTGCCTGGAGGATCAGGACTCGGGAGGGCGGTGAGGAGATTCGCAGGACAGGGGCTCGGGGAGGGAGCCGACAGGAACTCGGGAGAAGGAGGAGGAGGAAGCCGCCGCCCGCGCCGCCGCCCCCGCTCCGCCACGGCCCGGAAAGTAGGCCCAGCGCGGAGGGGCCCGGCCGCGGCGCCCGTATCCGTCCGCCCGCGCTGCGCCCGCCCGGCCAGTCGCCGCCGCCCGCCCTCCGCGCCGCTCCCGGCGCACCCCGCGCCCATCCGGGGACTCGGTGGCCGCCGCGGGCCTTACCGGAGTCGCCGCGCGCCGCACCGTCCCGGGACTTCGGGGGGCGGCCCCGCGGCATCGTCGCGGCGGCCCACCCCTCACTCGCGCTCTCCCTCGGCGGGCGGGCGCGCACGCGCGGCACCGGGCGGGCGAGCGAGCGAGCGGGCGGGCTGCGGGTCGCGGCCGGACCCAGCCCGCCGGGCTCACAGGGCTACGGCGCCCGGACGCTCGGGCAGCAGAGCTCGGACCGCGCCGGCCTCGGCGGGTTCCATGGCCCGCGGGCCGCGGCGGGGGCGTTAGGAGCGGGCAGTGGGGGGCGGGGGCGCCGTTGTGCGCATGCGCGGCCTGCCAGGCGGCGGCGTCACCTGGCTCGGCGATCCGCCGGGCTCGGAGGCTTGCAGGCTGGCAGCCTGAGTGTGCAGTCGGCCCCGGAGGCCTTTCGGTGCCCCCGACTGTGCCCGGACAGCCGACCGGCTCACCCCTGCATTCCCCCCATCCCGGGAAATGGAAACGATCCCAGTGTGGTTTGGTTGTCACGCGCTTGTCTACGTTCACTTGTGTTTACTTACTTGACAGTCACCTCTGATCCCGAGCAGACAAAGTGCCCCAGCACATCTTTCTACTCGGGACTCCTTTGTAAGCATCCCTGCCCAGACCTCCGGAGTGACGGAAGGCCAGGGAAGGAAGCCTACCCACAGAGATGCCAGTGGACTACCGGTAACGGGCGGTCTTGGAGATGCACCGCTCACAGGCTCCCTTCAGGTGTGTCTTTTTGGCGACTTTGTTGTCCCCTTTAACTCAGTGATCCATTCACAGCGGCACAGGTTAAGAATCTCGCAGAGTGTGGTGACTCACCGTTAATCCCAACAGTTGGAAGCCTAAGACAGCAAGATGGAAAAGTGTAAAGTTGAAGCCTACCTGGGCTATCTGGTAAGTTCCAGGCTTAAGTGAGACCTTCTGTCAAAATGTAAATAAATAAATAATAAAGAACGAATGATCAGAGAAAGGAATGACCATTTTGTGTTAATATGATCTCAGAATTGATCTTCAGGCAAAGCTTTATTCGTTAAAACACAAAATATCAATACATGCCATGTTTACTGAGGCATACGAAAAAAAAGTCTATAAGCTGAGTGATTGGCGCCTGGGTTATGGAACAATAAAGACACAAGACCAGGGGGTGGTGGTGAACACCTTTAATCCCATCAGTTGGAAGGCAGAGGCAGGCGGATGTCTGTGAGTTCGAGGTCAACTTGGTCTACACAGCTAGTTCCAGGACAGAATCCAAAGCTACAGAAAAATCCTGTCTCGAAAAAACAAAAACAAAAAAGACACAAAACTAGAATAAATGTTTAAAAAGTCAAAAGATTTGTAAGATCTGAAGAAAAGCTAGATAACAGATCAAATGTTAAAATAGGAGTTCAAAAATCTTAGACTAAGGAGACGGCTTCCTGGGGGACAGAATTCCTCAGGAAAGCCTAGCAACCAAGTTCCCAAACCCTAGGTGAAACTGACTCCCAGAGCTGCCCTCTCACCGCACCCAGGCCCCACACAACAACAATATATTCTTTTAAAACAACGTACCAGGGTAATTTTTGAGAACAAGATTGGTTACAACTAGAAAAGTTGAAAAGAGTCTTTTGAAGTGCAAGCCTTTAATCCCAGCACTTGGGAGACAGAGGTAGGCAAATCTCTGTGAGTTTGAGACCAGCCTTATCTACACAGCTAGTTCCAGGATAGCCAGAGTTACACAGAAAAACCCTGTCACAAAATAAATAAATAAATATATAGATAAATAAAACACCTAACAAGTTTTTAAGTAAATCAGTAGTCCTTCACAGAAAATGCCTCTAGTCTTTCCAGTTCTTACAGGGGACCAAATTCAGTTCCCAGCACACATTCTGACTTGGGTTACAGCCACCTATAACTTCAGCTCCAAGGAATCTAACAGCCTCTTTTGGCTTCTGAAGGCAGTGCACTCATGTACAAATCCACATAGACATAAATATAGGTTAATTTTTTATTTTAAGATTTTTTTTGGCATTTATGACTCTACTTGAATTGTACATATATATGAATGTATATCCTGTTTGGCTGTAAGAAGGATTTGAAACAATTTTGTAAGAAATGTATGTAAGGTGAAGAAATAAATGAATGAATTATGATAAAGGGGGGAAGGAGGGAGTCAGAGACAGTATGATACTAACCCAATAAGTCATACAGTAATACAAGTGAATTAAAAGCTGGGCTCCAGGCTCCTTAGTCCAAGCAGAAAAGATTCGCTCACAGTCACACCAACCTGTGGTTTGGATGATACGTAGTCTCTCTAATGGAGCTGAAGTGGACTTTTCCAGTTACTCCTTTGTGTAGTTACTACAGTTTCACATAGTAAAGTTGCCATGCTGGGTGCGTTATCAGGCAGCAGGATCCCTACCATTGTTCTCTACAGCTGATTCTTCATTGCATCTCTCCTAGAAAACAGTTACCTCGTGTCAGGAAAACTTAGGGGAAGCAAGGGTCTCAACAACACAGAGTGAACAACTTTCTCATGGTCTTACCATGAAATGTAGAACCCACAGAAAGTGACTGTTATACTTAAAGATGGGATGGTCCTGCAGGATTCCTGCTTCATGAAAGAGTCTTCCAGACATTCTGTGGGGCACAGAAAAAAGCAACTGATGAATTTTGCCAAAATAGGCAGCACAGTCCTTCAGATTTCCTGTTTCACTGAGAAATCTGCCAGAGACTATGGGCCTGTGGGCTAAAGATGAATGCCCCAACATTACAGGAAAACTTTGGGTGACTGTTCAGACAGTCAGATATCTCTGACATTTCTAGATTTTTGGAAGTTGCTTACAGTGCATTTCCTGTTTACTTAGGTAATATTATATACCTCTAGGGTCTTTGATGGAGTTGAAGTCTAGATAGTTATAATTATAGTTTTCCTCAGTTACGATAAAAGATAAATTATATGTGAAACATGTAGATTGGCAAAGATAGGTGATAAAGTATTTTCTTTAACTTTGCCAAATATAAATAGGCTAAATATTATAATTCTTGCTTATTACCTGCTTTGTTATATGTAATTTTACAATGTTAAAGTTAAAACTTTCCTTTTTAATTAGCCAGAAAAGGGGAGATGATGTAGGATATCTTTCTGTATGCTGTGAATATGTGTCTCTCTCATTGGTTGGTGAATAAAGCTGTTTGAGAAAGGTGGGAAATCCAAACAAAGGTACAGAGAGTAAAAAATCGGAGTTAGGGAGATGCCATGTAGCTGCTGAAGGAGTAACATCCTGGAACATCACAGTAAGCCATAACCTCTGGACAATGTACAGATTAATAGAAATGAATTAATTTAATTGTGAGAGCTAATCAGTAATATGCCTGAGTCATTGCCCAAACAGTTATAACTGATATTGAGGCTCTGAGCGGTTATTTTATAAGTAGCTACGGGGACCCACGAGCAGGAAAGAAAAACATTCAACTACACCCCTCCCCTGAAATAGTTTGTCTTTGCTCTTTATTAATTGTTATGGGTACAGTGTTCTGTCTGCTTGTATGTCTGCAGACCAGAAGAGGGCACCAGATCTCATTATAGGTGGTTGTGAGCCACCACGTGGTTGCTGGGAATTGAACTCAGGACATCTGAAAGAGCAGCCTGTGCCCTTAACCTCTGAGCCATCTCTCCAGGGTTTCAACAACCAACGCTGTTCCACTCTTCTGGCTGGGTACCCAACAGGCTCAGTAGGAGCAGCTGCCCCCTGCTTGAGCTGCCTCTGGAAAGACATGGATGACCACCTCCAAATGCCCTAGTTCCCTGAATGTCTCTCCTCCTCTTTAACTGCTGTGTGTGGTGTCTCGCAGACTCATGATGGGGTCCCTGTGTGTGTATCTCCCCGCTTACATTCCCAGAAATTCTTTAGTCTCAGGAATTGATTTTAGAAATTGTTTTTTTTTTTTTGTTTTGTTTTTTTGTTTTTCGAGACAGGGTTTCGCTGTGGCTTTGGAGCCTGTCCTGGAACTAGCTCTTGTAAACCAGGCTGGTCTTGAACTCACAGAGATCCGCCTGCCTCTGCCTCCCGAGTGCTGGGATTAAAGGCGTGCGCCACCATCGCCCGGCTAGAAATTGTTTTAATAATACGATTTCAGCCTCTTTTTAGGAATTATCCATTTTTGGCAGCCTTTCTAAAATTATTTCATACCTTGTCTCTCCACTCTAGCTAAGTTCTTAATTTTTCTGCAACTAATTTTACCCTTGTAGCCAATTAGCTACCCACTCAAACTGGTGGCTCAATTTTCTCTATCTTTTGTATTTTGATTATTTTTTTTAAAGATTTACTTATTAAGTATACAACATTCTGCCTCCGTGTATGCCCACACATCAGAAGAGGGTGCCAGATCTCATTACAAATGGTTGTGAGCCACCATGTGGTTGCTGGGAATTGAACTCAGGACCTCTGGAAGAGCAGCCAGTGCTCTTAACCACTAAGCCATCTCTCCAGCCCCTATTTTGATTATTTTTAAAACGTGCTTCTTCAATGAAATTTTTTCAGTTTCTGACATCCATTTATTATCTTTAGTGGTAAAAACAGGCAGCTTATTAAAGAATAGAAAGGCAGTCCCAATGGAAGTGGGCTAAAGTCCCAGGGAAGGTCCTCAAATCAAAGCTTGTTTGCTTACTATTTGTTTGCTTAGATCTCACTTAGCCCTGAGTGACTTGGCTCTCACCAGGCAGCCCAAGCCTTAAATTTACAGTAATCTTTCTGTCTCGGCCTCCCAAGTGCTGCAATAAGAGGAATAATTTCAATTTTTCCAACTTGTAATTATAAAGTTACCAAGCATACAAAAAGTTTGGAAAACAAAATAAATACCCTGATCCAACTGTTCTTGATATTTTTTTCCCTTATCATTTTTTTACAGATTTTGTTGAACTGTTTGAAATAAATTGCATGCAGCATCTTACCCATAAATAATTCCGTAGAAATTTTCTTCAGCAGTCACAGAGCCATGGTTAATTTTTTATATATTTGAAAGCAGCTAACTCCTAACATTATCTAGCCCACATTCATATTTTTCCATTTGTCCTGATAATGTCTTATTTTCTTACTTTTTAATTAGGATTGAGTGAGAGTTTATGTCTAATTTAAATTTTGCTTGCTTGTTTGTTTTTGGAAAAGGGTTTCACTATGTAGACCAACCTGACCATAGAGATCTACCTGCCTCTGGCCTCTTGAGTACTGAAATTAAAGGCATGTACCACAACACCCAACCTCATGCTTAAAATTTTAGAATATCCTGTGAGCCACCCAGTGGTTGCTGGAAATTGAAGCCAGGTCCTCCAGAAGAGGAGACAATGCTCTTAACCACATAGCCACCTCTCTAGCCCCCAAGTTATGATTTTTTAAAAAATAGATAAAATGGCAGCCACATCCAAATTAGAATTTGCTATGATAGTTCATTCCGACTCAAGTCTCCAAGCACATGGAGGGTGAGAAAGAGGCAGGAAGTGAGAATAAACTTTGTCCCCTGTAATGGGGCCTTCAGGTATCACAGGGATGGCTGCTAGTCAACATGAGACTCCCCTGTGCACCAAGCACCTGGTGAGACTTCAAAGGCAGAATCCCATGCTTGCAGGCCGTCACTGTTAGCCAAGGCCATGTGCCATTCTGTAAAGTTCCTCTGTTAGTGTGCTTTTGTAGAACCTGCTCTCCCCGCCTTCAAAGGTTATTTTACTGTGGTAGTTTAAAAAGAAAATGGCCTCCAAAGGGAGTGGTACTATCAGGAGGTGTGGCTTTGTTGGAGTAGGTGTGGCCTTATTGGAGGAAGTGTGTCACAGTGTAGGTGAGCTTTGAGTGCTGTGCGGAAGCTACTCCCAGTGTCAGAGATAAGCTGTTGCCTGCAAGATGGAGGACTGTCAGCTGCTTCTCCAGTACAGTCTGCCTGCTCCCCACCATGATGATAGTGGACTGAACCTCTGAAACCATAAGCAAGCCACCCCAATAAAATGTTTTTGTTTTAAGAGTTGCTGTGCTCATGCTGTCTTATCTCTTCACAACAATAGAAACCCTAACTAAGACACATACATGCAGGCCCCAGGCTAACAGGCTCCCTCCCTCTCCCTACCAGTCAGGAATCAGGCAGCTTGACTGCAATCGTACTGTGGACTACTTATTAATCACATGACCTAGAACCTCTCCCTCTGAAACGTGAGAAGGGACCCTGCATTCTTCTTAATGTTCGGAACCCTCCTCATGGCCCCTATCATGCTTCTGTCCACCTTCCCATGAAGTTAATAACACTTGGATCGTTTATCCAAAAACATATTCTACTACAGTGTTCCCCTGGAACCCCAAACCCAAACCTCTCTGTTAGGACCAGAGAGAAGCAAGCACTCTGATACCGCCTCTAATAGGATGTTGGGACAGAATGCATGTCAAGCTTTGTTGGGGACTGCGGGCCACCAGACCCTGAATTTCTTGAAAAAAAAAAAACAAACTTGTTTTCCTCTACTCTGAGCAGCCTTCAGCTGCTCTGAGCACGAGACCCTAATGGTAGGGGAGTGGGTTCTGATGGGTCTGCCGCTGGAAGATCCCGAGAGCTGGGGCATGGCCAGAGCCCTATATAAGCTACACCTGAGCACAATAAAGTGGGCATTCTTGGCATTCTTGTCTCAAGGATGACCCCATGGCCCTGTCTGTCTGTCTGTCTCTGTGTTTGTATGTTTTTAAATTTTCAGCCTAGTTCCTGTAGCGAGTAGAGCTCTGAACAGAACCGGTGTAGTTTTACAAAGCTTCTCATGTGAAAACTTGCAGAAATACAGTAGTAGCTTCCTTAAGATTCAAATGACAGCAGCTGCTGAAGAGATGGCTCCGCAGTCAAGAGCACTGGCTGCTCTTCCAAAGCACTTGGCTTCAAGTCCCAATACCTGGGGACATGGCAGCTCACAACTGTCTGGAACTGAACTCCAGGTCCAGGGGCTCTGATACCCTCTTCTGGCCTCATGCATCAGGCATGTACATGGTACTCAGACATACATGCAGGCAAAACATGTAAATATTTTTTTCTAATTTTAAGTAAAAACAGATTTGGCCCTGGAAACAACTAAAGAAGGGACAGGCAAAGCATTGGAATTCTGAATAAAATCATTTTGGTTTGTCCTCTCGTGTTTTTATGTAACTCTGTGGTGATTTAAATGAGAATGTCCCCCATAGGTTCAGAACATTTGGCCCCCATTGGTGGCACTGTTTGAGTATGTTTAGGAGATATGGCCTTGCTGGAAGAAGTATGTGCCAGTGCTGGAATGCAGACTCCACACCCTGCTAACACACACTGCTCTGCCCCCTAAAGGCTGCACACCCTACTAACACACTGCTCTGCCCCCTAAATGCTGCACACCCTGCTAACACACACTACTCTGCCACCTAAAGGCTGGAGCACAGACCCCACACCCTGCTAACACACTGCTCTGCCCCCTTAAATGCTGGAGTTCAGACCCCACACCCTGCTAACACACTGCTCTGCCCTCTAAATGCTGGAGTGCAGACCCCATACCCTGCTGGCCCGGTGCTAGAAATCAAACTAAGGACTTCCTCTGTGCTAGGCAAGCACTCCACTGTTGAAATACGGAGCGGCGGGCTGTGTCCCGCCACCCGGCTAGCTTTACCCAAAATAATTACACGGAAACTGTATTCTTTTAAACACTGCCTGACCCATTAGTTTCAGTTTCTTATTGGCTAGCTTTTACATATTGATCTAACCCATTTCTATTAATCTGTGTAGCCCACGAGCTGGCTTACCAGGAATGATCTTAACCTCCGTCTGTCTGGAGTGGGAGAATCATGGCGACTCCCTGACTCAGCTTCTTTCTCCCAGCATTCCGTTCTGTTTTACTCCACCTACTTAAGGGTTGGCCTATCAAATGGGTCTAGGCAGTTTCTTTATTAATAAGAAATCACTCCCACATCATTTCCCCTTTTTCTGTTTAAACAAAAAAGAAAGGCTTTAACTTTAACATAGTAAAATTACATATAGCAAAACAGTTATCAAGCAAGAATTACAGTTACAATATTTATATCTATTTTATCTTTTATCATAACTAAGGAAAACTATAACTATCTATTTATTCTTCAACTCCATCAAAGACTCCAGAAGGATATAATACTACCTAAGTAAACAAGAAATAAGAAAACTCTAGAAATGACAGAGACATCTTGCTTCCTGGACAGTCACCCAAAGTTCTTTTGTACCTTTGGGGCATCCATCTTCAGCCTTCAGGCCCAAAGTATCCAGCAGATATTTCCATGAAGCAGGAAATTCCAAAGACAGTTCAGTCACTATCTGCTGTGTCCTGCAGAATGTCTCGCAGACTCTTTCATGAGTCATGAACCCCGAAAGACCATCTCACCTTTAGGCAAGTTTAGCAGTCCTCTCTCTGCGGGTTCTCTGTGTCCATTTTATGCAACAGTCCAGGCAAGAGCAGTTTCTTGCCCAAATGGCTATCAAACTCCATCAGGATCCTCTTCGATGCCCATCTTCCTCTCGAAGTAGATTGGTGCTGCCAGGAGCAGACGTGTCTCATTGTCATGAAAAGTCCTAAGTTATTAAAATATTTTAAATGCCATATTCTGTAGCCTTTGAGAGATATGAAGAATGCCTATCTGAAATATATCTCTATATATCTAGAAAATCTAAGTAACATGACTACAAACTTGACTATTATGATTATCCATCAACAACCTATATTTCCTATTATACATTACATTTTAAAAGAACTACACAATCACAATACCTTAATCAATATCAGAAATACATATACATATAACAAAATTGACCTTAAAATCCACACCAATTCAAATTATTCATACCTATATCATTTCCCCCTTTAAATGTAAAAGAACATTTATAAACAATATTTTGGGAACATGGGCACAGTTTTTTCTCTCCAAACTGCTTCCTGCTGAATGGGGGCGTCGTTAATGAGGTCTTTCATGGTATAACCTGTGTGCTAGTTTCATCTCAGTTGGCAGTTGAGCAAAGTAATTTTTTGAAGAGGTTCACAACAACCTTTCAGGAGGGCGTGGTCTATCATACCAAATTGTAATAGAAGAAATCCACAGGGTTTGGTCCTCTGTGAAAACAAAAGAAGACCCTCTCCAAAGCATCATATTCTTAAACCCAAATTTTGAAATCGTAATACCCTTATATCCATTCTGGTTTAGCTTAGCAGCCCATGTAATGAAATGTCTCTCTGTACTTAGCTCCTTTACAGTCAAAAATTTTAAAGAAAGCACAATGTACATAATCCAGACTCTCTGTGAATTTTCCATTTTTACGTGGCTTATTTTTCTTTATTTCTTTTAATCTCTTAACTATCTGTACTCTGTCTCTTTAAAGACTTTACCTTTTTTTAAAACCATTAACTTCATTTTCTATATTCTTTTTCTTCTCTCTCTCAAGCCTTCGTACATTTATCCAACAGTGTGGTATTTTATGTCTGAATCTGTTTTATTGTGAATCTCTAACATTTTTTTACTATCCAGGAGCATTTCTTAAAATGTTTAGCAGTTCTTAAAAACTTAAGTTGCACCATGTACAGGTAATACGGTACCGCCTGTGTCCTGCCCAGTTGAAACCTTAAATGCGCTGTTTTTATGGTAATTACGGTAGTTCCTGCCTGAGACCAGCACAGTTCAAGCATGGCAGAGCTGAGCCAAGCTGCTCCTGCCTCAGAGCCATTTGGTGCCCCTGAGCCACACACAGTTCCAGGCACACAGCAGTCCACATTGCCATCAAGCAAGCCGTAGAGCTTTACTCCAAATGCTCCATTCAAAAGCTCTGTCTCCCACAGGAGCCAGACAGAGATCGCAATGGCGGCACAGCCCAGAAAGTCGGCATTTTAAAACAGCCAGTTTTTTCCTGCTGCTGAGTCAGGACAATTTCTTTGCGGCACACAACCCACAAACAGCAAAAACCTGTCTTAAATTCTCTCTCTCTCCTTTTTAAGTCCTCTCAGGTTTTACGTGGAGTTCATTAGCACGTTGGGTACCACTCTGTTGAAATAAGGAGCGGCGGGCTGTGTCCCGCCACCCGGCTAGCTTTACCCAAAATAATTACACGGAAACTGTATTCTTTTAAACACTGCCTGACCCATTAGTTTCAGTTTCTTATTGGCTAGCTTTTACATATTGATCTAACCCATTTCTATTAATCTGTGTAGCCCACGAGCTGGCTTACCAGGAATGATCTTAACCTCCGTCTGTCTGGAGTGGGAGAATCATGGCGACTCCCTGACTCAGCTTCTTTCTCCCAGCATTCCGTTCTGTTTTACTCCACCTACCTAAGGGTTGGCCTATCAAATGGGTCTAGGCAGTTTCTTTATTAATAAGAAATCACTCCCACATCACTCCACTGACTGAGCTATATCCTCAAGCCCATCTATGTTCTCTTACTAACAAAAGGATACAGTGACCTGAGATTCAATTTGGAGGCATTTTGCCATGTACCCGTTGATCCTTGTGAGTCACCCGGCTTTATCCACGAGAATGCTGAGACCTACAAGTGTCAAGTAACATCCTTTGTCTAGTTCATGGAGAATGTGCTGCAGAGCCGTTCTTCAGATTTCCTGGCCAGTGCTTTCTCCATGTGATATGTGATATTTTCTGCTCAATTTCAATTGTCATGTTTATCTTTATCTCCAACCTGGAGCTCTCTTTAGTTCTTGACAATTTGGCTTTTTTGATTTTGTTTGTTTGTTTGTGTTTGTTTTGTTCTGCACCAACCTAGCCTTTAGACAAAAGTAATGAACTCTTTCCTCTCCACCCACACTGGGGATGCATAGACAGTGTGCACACATTCATCACAGGTCAGCGGTCCAGTCATGCTCCCGTTTTTATCACTAAGGACTTCTCTGTGGTAGGAAGCAGTACTGGGCTATAAAAGAAGCACAGGGCATGTATGTTCCCTGACCCTGCACACTCCTGGGCAGAGGACACAAACCTTCCTCGGAAGGGACGATTACACTTGTCCCTCTGATAGGAGGACACGGCTTTCCCCAGACCCCACGTCTAGCCTCTCGCCTCAGGGAAATCAAATGTAGGTTTACGTGGTGTGATTGTGACATAAATCTTAGTGTTTCCATTTCTGTAAGCCGTTCTGGGCAGTGCGCATTATGAAGCTCAGTGACAGCTATCATTTTGAAAGCAGGATGAATGCGTGGGTTCCACGAACAAACACATGGCATGCTGGAGCGTTGCAGGGACTGGCCACTGCCGCAGGTTCCTGGCTGCTCGCCCTTGTCTGGCAATGTCAGTTTGGAAAGCTACTTTGCTTTCCAGCTGTGACGGTTTGGTGATTTTTCTCCTGAACAGACATGGACATACTTTCCTGTTTGGAGGAGGCTACTCTCCTGTGTGAAATTCCTCTCTCAACCTTTCTACCATCAAGTTTGGCTCACCTGCCCAGGTAGGACAGAAAGGATGCTCCAGACCTCCATTCCCTCAAATCTCAGGAAATGTCAGCATTCTATACAGCCAGCAGCCAGGAGTGACAGTCTGTGAAGCTGAAAAACAACATAGTTTCACTACATGAAACAGGTGTCAAGCAGGATCACCCCAGGAGATCACTTCACTTTTCTGGGTGTTAGACTACTAAAGGGAACCACCATCCTGTCACTCCTCAAGGACTCCACGGGCTAACGTGAGACATCCATCACTCCCTTTCTCCCGGAAGTCGGCTGGATGAGGGGGTTGAGAGTCAGCAGGCACCCTGCAGGGCCGGGCCCTGCCTGCTCACCAGCCTAATCACAGACAGGAGTTACTCTTCTTTATAATGAAGTTTATCATCACTGGGCATCTTTGCTGCCACACCAGCATCCTGATACCATGGACTAGCCCCTCACAGGTGAGGTGGGGCACACTAGGGCACCCTCCCACTCTCCTCTCTAAGCCCTGGGTACTCAAGCCCAGCAGCGTCTTCTGCTTAGCCTGGAGCCAGGAAGGGAGGAAGCAGGAAAGATGCCCGGTGACAACTTATTTGCCTGTCCCTACGGACACAGGCATACTCACCCTCCCTTTTTTGAGACAAGAACTTATGTAGCCCAGGCTGGCCACAAACTTTCTAAATGGCTAAGAATGACTGAGAACATGACTTGCACATGTATTTAGTGGGGTGGGGGTTAGTGATGGGTGTGTGTATGTGGGACCCAGCCATGGACAAGCTCAATAGAGGTCTGAGTCTCAGTAGCTCACCCTAAAGCAATACTTGATTCCAAGAAAGGCCACAAACTGAGACCACCCAGCACCACCCAGAAACTGACCATCCAAAGGAAATTCCTAACATTCCAACCGTTGTAGATAAGGTCATCTGCCAGCACACACCCATCATGTTTCACTAGGACATCCCTAGATAAATGTCAGCCAACCAGGGGTTCTGAATCCTGGGAAATCCCTCACCCCAACTCCTGCTATTATAAAAGCCCCACCCCAACTGAGCTCAGGGCTGTCCAATTGCACCAATACGTTGGACTCACAGAGAGTCTGAGTTTGAGCTTGAACAAGAATAAAGGCTCTTTGCTTTTACATACAGGACTCGTCTCCTAGTTGGTTTTTGGGACACTTTGTGATCTGTGCGTAGCATGCACTAGCACGCATATGCTAAAGCAAGCCTGGAGAGAAAGAGGACAGCTTGGAGTCAGTTCTCTACCTCCATCATGTGGGCTCTAGAGCTCAAACTTAGGTAGCATACTTCTGGTGAGCCACCTCTCTGCCCATGACCTTGAACTTCTGGTCCTAGAGCTGCGCTTAACCAGCCTCCTGTGACACCATTTGTCCTCCAGGCAGGCTCTGGCAGGGACTGTCTCACCGCCCAGCTCCAAGGACTTGTTCACGGTTGCTTATTTACTCTCAGGCTCTCCCTGCTTTCTAGGTAGCTAGGCTTCCTCCCCTGCCAACAGCCCTCCCAGAATCTTGGCTTCCTCAAGACCCTCCCTGGACTGCTGCCTCCTAGGGGTGGCAACTCTCCTAGTCACCTGTCTGCTCCATCCTCCCCAGAGAGACTTCTTGTGGGTCTGTCGGGAGCTCTAGTTCTAGTCCTAGCACAGCTGGAACCCAGGCTTTCAATCACCTGTGAGGCTCACAGCCCTCCTTTGTAATGGCGGTGTTCCCTATGGTGGCTATGATCGCTTGTCTGAACTGATCAGTGCTTTCCCTGCCTTTGACCCCATTAATGCTCCCAATTCAGGTGGTCTCCAGAGACACAGGGTTTCACCTCCAAGTCAGAGCCTGGCCTCAAACCTCACTGTTAGCCTTCCTCACCCCATTACTGTCCCTGCTGCCTCTTCTCTTCTGCTGGCAGAGTTTTGGAGTTTCGGTCTGTCCTTTTCATTCCTACACGCAAAGAATTCTGTTTTGCCGATTCCCACACTGCGGAACCGAGAAGAGCTCACTCTGCCATTGAGGTGCACCGTAAAGCTACTGGCACGCACAGTTCTGAGAGGGCTGATGGGAGCCCCGTCTGTACACAGTAAGTGTAACCTCAAGATGCTGCTGCCCAGTTCTGGGCAGATACAAAGGGCCCACAGTGGGGAGAGGAGCAGAGAGTTTCACCTTCCCGGTGACCTCCCCCCGCAAGAAGGATTCTCAGAGTCAAAGCTCCAGGCTTTGACTCGCCTGAAAGAGACGTCTCTGAGCACGCCCAGGGGTGAATTGACTTGTTTGTGTTCACTGATGTGGGAAGATCATCTGAATTGTAGGTGGAACCTGATGGTGACACTGGGGACACACTCGCATCCATTGCTCTCTTCCGACTGAGGACCCTGTAATGTGACCAGCTGCTTCAAGTTCTCCCTGGCTTACTTCCCTAACATGAGAGGCTGTGGCTTGAACTGTGAGCCCAAATAAACCCCTTTGCCCAGAAAGAGTTGTTTACTTATTTTCTCCCGGTTGCTCTTGTCGGAGTATTTTATGGTAGCCACAGGGCAAGAGACTAGGTCACCATCATCCCGCTGTGTTCCAATCTCAAAGCCCCGCGGAACATCATGCGGCCCACCTCCCGTGAGCACCCAGCTGCGTACATTCGACACTTTTTTACTCCCGTGAGCACCCAGCCGCGTACATTCGACACTTTTTTACTGTTGTGTAAATTGCATTTCACTCACTTTCAGTGCTGCACAAGTTCAGTTTTAGATCTAGAATGTTCTCTACGGGTTTCCAGTCGGAGCACTTGGTCTCCAGCTGCCGGCACCATCTTGGGTGACTGGAACCTTTCTGAGGCAGAGCCTGGCTGGAGGAAGTAGGTCACCACTAGAGGGAGGCACGCCTCTGAAGTCTGTAGTCCAGCTCGGGCTCTGGTCAGACCAGCTTTCTGGGCTGCAGCCATAGGAACATCCACTGTCGCAGGTCCCTGCCGCCACGGACAGAGCTGCCCAGCCTCCCTTCCTTCCCTGTGGTGGACTTGAAATGTTGCTCCTAAAACTAGAACGAAAGAAATCTTTCTCCTTCCTCGAGCTGTTTCTATGACCAGCTGTTTTGGTCATAGTCTAACACAGAAGTAAGTATTCCAATAACTATAATTTTTTTCTCTTGCAAAAAAAATTAATTATTATTTTTGCTGTTTTGTCGTTCGGGCTGTTGTAAATGACGCCACCCAGCGCTCTTGCAGTTGCCCCCCCCCCCCACTGTAAAAGCACGTTGCTGTGATTTCTTACCATCTCCAGTGTGCTTGTTACACACAATTTTCCTGTCTCTCTGTGCCATCCACGTTTTCATCACAATTCTCACCGGTGGACCTCTTAATTTGTGATAGCCTGGGAGGTTTTCCTTTCCCACTGATGTCCCTGTTTTTAATTTTGCCCCTTTAAAATTAGGTTGACAAATTGTTTTTTTTTTTTCAAGATAGGTAGCCCAGACCGGTCTTGAACTATCATAGCTGGGGATGACTTGAACTTCTGACCCTCTTGCCTCCACACCCTGAGTCCTGGGGTTACAGGTGTGCATCTGCACAACACACACACACACACACACACACACACACACACACAGTTGCACAGATGTGGAGGTCAGAGGAGAACCGTGTGGAGTCATTTTCTTTTCCCTGCAGGTGAACTCCGAGGATGGCCCTGAGGTCACCAAGCTTTTGTGGCTAGCGTCTTACCCACCGAGCCCTCTCACTGACCCCGTCAGTGTGTTTGATGCGAGCCAATCGGAAACCGTGCCTTCTACACATTTAGGCTAGGCCGAGAATAACAGGGCTGAATCAGGCACAGTTAGAAGTTAAGGGAAAGGATGGAAAAGGGACAGAGTGGGGGTGGGGATCAGGATAGTGCCACCTAGTGGTAACACATCGCAGCCCGGAAATCTCAGAGCTGCCATTTCCTACCCAGGCCTGACCTCCAGTGGTGGGTGGATGGCAAGGCGGGAGCTTTGAATAACCCAGTCCTGATTGAGGCTTTAAAAAGGGAATAGACTTTGGTGTTTATAGTCTACCCTACTCTCTACCACGTGCGCAAACACTGGTGGCTCTCTCCAGCCCGGAGGGTCTAGGATCAGTTCTACAGCAACACCAGAAAAGTCAGAGTCAGGCAGCAGGGTCCCTGTGGCCAACTGTTACTCAGTCTTGCATGTTTAGCCACTTCACTTCCCCGACACCCATTTCCTGATCTCTTCAGAGCAGGCACTGGCCATCTCCATAGTTGTGATGCTCCTGCAATTCTAGACTTATTGAGGCTTTGCTTTGATTCACAGAAAACTGTTTCTCAGAAAACTACAAAACAGCAGGATTCCTCCTACGTCAGCGGCCCAGAAAGAAAGCATTTGCTCTGTCTCCATGGAGACCTGAGACAGACAAATGGCCCTTCAGGTCACCATGACAACAAGCGGAGTACAAGTGCACTCTCATGAGCAGTTGAACACACTTGGCATTAGTAACAAGTGCACACATGGTACACACAAACACACCCACAACTTACATACATACACATGAAGAAGAGGCAAAAAAAAAATCTGTATTTGCCTAAGCTACACAAGGCCCTGGGTTCAATCCTCACTACCACAGAGACTGGTCATGGTGGCCTATATCTATAATCCCAGAACTCTGAAGGTGGAGACAGAAAGATCAAGGATTCTCGGTCATTTTCAGTTACATGGTGAGTTTGAGACCAACCAGGGCAATTTGAAATCCTATCTCAAAAGGCAAGCAAACAAGCAAGTTATCTGGGAATCTCTTCTAAAGAGCATGATAGTTAGTGTGTAGCTTCTATTTTTGGATCCTTAATATGTTATAATTACATAGTCAGCCAATAGGAATTCAGAGATTTCTTACTTAAAATGAAACACACTAATTAGCCCAGACACATTTTTTTTTTTCCTGAAAATACATGGTAGCTGTCTTAGTTTGGGTTTCTATTGCTACCTTCAATGAGAGTGGGGTGGGGTAAGGGGTAGGAGACAGGGAGGAGGCATGCCTCAAGCACACATTTATAGCTGTGACTGCTGAAGTACTGAGTCAGTACTGAGTGAGCTACACACACACACACACACACACACACACACACACATGCATGTG